AGGTATGGAGGAAACACCAGGATTCCCAGAGAGTGTTACTGCAGATTGTTCACTCTCTGGAGACCAGGGATTAGAAAAAGATCCTCCAACAATCACAGTAGAAGAATGTAGGGCACTAGAGACTGGGATTAATGGGAATGGTGAGGCAGTCCTTTATGTAGCGGAAGATGGCACGTTATTAGAAACTACACAAAGGAGCATTCAGTCAACCAAAAATGAATTTCATAATGTCTTAGGGCAAAAAGAAACCCTGGTATTCTTCTCAAATAGTAACAATAAAAAGCAAGATTCTGAGAGAGAATTCACATGTCAGATTTGTCAACAGCAGTTTCTTAAGAAAAAAGAACTTTCAATGCATATTAGAAACAGTCATAATAGAAATGAAAAGGAAGAAACTCCATATATCAAAAAAGAACCCATAGATTCTGATGATGATAGATTAGTTGCAGATGATGTTGATGAGGACTGGGAGCTTGTTACAGTTGGAAAGCGCAAAAAAAATGGTGTAGACTTAAAAATTGAGAAGGGAAAATTTGAGTATAAATGTAAATTATGTAGGCGCAACTTTCTGTCAGAGTTAGGCTATCAAACACATGTTAGAAACAAGGAATGCAAAAACAAGAAGTTCAAGTTAACAAGAATGTTTTCTTGTCATTTTCAAAGGTGTGATTCTTCATTCTTCAAGCTTACTGAATTACAGAGACATTGGCAGATAGCTCACAAATTTTCTATGGCCAGCAAAAATTTAGAATTTAAGGATGAGAGAGCTTTTACTCAGTGGTTAGTGGAGGAAGAAGAGAAATATAAAGTAAGGTTCACATGTGATGTCAGAAGAAGAAAGTCTCATAGAACAGAAAGGTTATTAGTGTGCCATAGATTTCATCATCTTCGCACAGCTGCAGCAAGAAAAGCAGCCAAACAAGAGTATTCAGACAAGCATAATTGGATACACAAGATTCAGCCCTGCCTATGTTTTGCAAGGATGAAGGTTTACCAAGACTTTGACAAAGAGACATGTGATTTCACAGGAAAGATTAGTGTTGTGTATTATTACGAGCATTCACATTCTGATGAGGATAGCCAAGAAGAGAAGACAGAAATCTTGGATCATATTTTACAGAGAAATAAAAGAAACAGACAGAACCAGTTCCAAGACTTAAAGGGGAATGACAAACTTATGCATCGACAGAAACTTGAAAAGTTTGCACGACTTGCAGGAAAAGAATACCGTTCAACAACTCGCACCACAAAAATGGATTCAGTAAAGAGATTTAAACAGGAACCAGATGAGCTCCCTATTCTTAATGAATACGATGAGGACCAAATTGCAGCTGCCAATGTTGCCAACAACCTTTTAGAGAGTGATGAGTTATTTACCACTCAAGTAGAAATGGTTTTAGATGGCCAGTTTGACATGGGCCAGGAGGTGCTAACAGGACCAGTGGTGAATAATCTTGATGGTCTTACTATATTTGAAGGTAATAGAGTTGAACATATTAACTGCAAGAGCGATGATTTGAGAAACCATGAGGATGACACAGAAACAGATGAGGATTCGCAGACCTTGCAAGTTGTGCTGCCTGCAAGTACGGCAGACTGGGGAAAGTTGTTTGAAATGGTGCGTGCACGTGTAACAACTGACCACAATCCCACCATAAAGGCAGAAGCAGCACTTGTTCTACCATATGAAAAAGTTATAGAGCTCATAACCCCCAATGAGCAAATTCCCATTTTTAGACAACTGTGGGAGTTAGCTTACCCAAGCAATCAGTCCGAAGAAGAAATCGAGTTTGAAATCAGAATGGTAAGATAAGTTTCTCGTCTCGTCATCATAAGATTAATGATTTTATACCTGTTACTACCTCTGTTACCTAGTGATGTCAATGTTTTTATTGTTAAGGGAAACATTTATTTATATTTAAAGTATGCAAGTTTGTAATTAAGAAATAAATCCTTATTTATTGATGTATCTATAATGATATAGGATTGTTTTCTTTATTTCCTGATTATGCTCACATTTTCTTGTAATTTAAATCAATGTTGTTAAAGAAATAACTGGCTTGTGGTCTAGTATTAATATTGCTAGATAGTTGCTTTTCGTCAGTTGCTATAACTGTTTACACTTCCAGTGAAGCTTCCCTTTTCATTAATCAAATAGATTTTCCTTTAGTATCTTCAGAATGTGAGCATTTTATTTCATTTCATTTCATATTTTATTTTATTTTATTTTATTTTTTATTTTTTTTTATGTGCAGGGCATATGTTTTTTACTTTCTTTTTCTTTTTTCTTCCTTCATCTTTCATTCTTTTTTTTTTTTTCTTTCCTTTTCCTTTTCATTTTTTCTTTTTTCTTTCAATGATATGATTATTCATTCTTTGAAAATGGATCCGCAGAAAACAGCAATTGCACTAAATCAGGAAAATGTCATCAGTAATGCAAGGAGAAAGTGGAAGTTCAGTTATTAAATTTTTGTTGTATTGGATGCTTCTATTTTGTAACTTCAGTCTTGTTTTGATGTATTTGAATGTTTGATAACTAATATGTGTCTGTGATAATGCTTTTTACAGATGTTCTCAAGAGTGCCTTTCCAATCATGTAGAGAGAGATTTTCCCTTTTAATTGTTGTAAACATGATATCTGTAATATTAGATCTGTGTCTGCTCATTAGATTCATATACTATTGAGTAAATATACAACTAAATCCATTTATTTTGTTTTAGTTGTGATAAGCAACCCTTTCATAAAACATCAGTTGATAATACCAGAAGATCAATCTATTTATTTATTGAAATTTGTCTTCCACATTACATCAAATATAATATAACATAACTGATATGATTTAAATCCATTCCATTTGTTACAATGGATATTCTTCTTGTTGTCTGTTTTATTTTGCTTCGTAATTACCCCTTATGGCAAGGAATATCATCCACTAGCAGCAAGGGATTTGAATGTAGGTCAGCAAGATTGCTAGATAAGATTGCTACTGTTGCACCACACAGCACACAAGGCCATTAGTGGTTTGCTCAAAATACAGTGATAGGGTGGGGCTTGTGGGTGAAGCATTGTGGCAAAAAGGAAAAAATGAGTTAATGATTAGGATAAGTGCTCAGAAGAAGATAAGGAAAAGGGAAGGGTGAGAAGAAAAGGCCATGCAACAATTGATGAGGCGAGGGGTGATGTCCAAGGCAGGGGTGAACCACTACATTGGGCCTGTCATTGTCTCCTAAGCCCCTCAACAACAAGCAGAGGATTGTGGTAGCTATAAGATCAAGTAACTCCTGCATTTATATCATCATCATCATCATTATGGCCTATGAAATAGCAAAAATGTTTATATTATTTATTTATTTCTCCCTAGGGGAAGCCCCTCCTAGGATGAGTTGTATGCATATTATCTTGGGTCATGATTTGCTAGTTCTGAATGTTTGAAGTTTCTGACGTGGATTTGGTTGAGAAACAAAGATTTTCTTATGAAGGGAAGAGGAGTAGAGCAAGAGGTAGGTGGAGGAGAATGTGGTAGAAGATGGGGTGGAACATTTAGATTGTCTGCTATAGGTAGAGTGAGGAGGGAGAGGGATAGGTGTCAGGCAGTGGTAGAAAATGGGATGTCTGGATTTAGAATTGCAACAGTATTTGATCAGGAGAGGAATAGGATAAAAGTGGAAGCATAAGATGGAGGAGGAATAGATACAAGGGGCATGTAGAAACATCCTAGGAGGAAGGGAGTGAAGGGCAGCACTGTAGGGAGTAAAAGAAAAACCTTGTCGCAGTGCTTCCAGTCTGGCCTTGCATAAAGTGAAGTTAAGTTTGAATTCAGATGTAATTGTAACAAGGCAGGGCTACGGAAGAATACTTTGCCTACATATTTTGGGAGGCATTGTTGGAAGAGGAGAATGTTGTCAGAGTAAGGGGCTGTAGAGATCACATAAAAGTTGATTCCATTTGGCTGGGATAAAGAGTACTCAAAAGATTTGTAGAGGCAGGTAGTAGAAGGACAAGGCCTTGTGGAAGAGGGAGTGGCGGTGAGTGATGTAGTACTGCAGAGAGATAGATAATAACGCTGCTGAGTATCATTAAGGGAGGAAGGGGTAGACGAAGAAATAGAGGATGCCGGGATAGGAGGAATGTTTCCTGAAAGTTGAGTAATAACCTTGGTGAATGATTTTGGACTGGACTGAGGTGACAGTAGGCATTAACCCCTTCATGACAGGTGACGCCGCTAGGCGTGAAAACAAACCGCTCGAAAAGTGGCGCCAAAGCGTGGCAATCGAGGGATTCGGCCTGATGTACCGAACTCACGCACTCAAAGTCGGCGCGCTGCCATGGTTCGCCAGAGCATAGATTGATTTTTTTTTTTTTTCTTCTTCGACCGTCACCATTGGGTTAAGGAGGGGGTAGTAGTAGTTTTCAGAATCAGAGAGGTCAATGGAGAGCTTAGGATCAGGGAACTTGGAAATTAAAATCAATGGGGCTAGTTGATAAGGGGTAAAGCCAAATTACCCCTAATATGGGTACAAAAAAATTCATTACTGGCCATGTGAAGTCTAGAGTATGTTGAGGAGATAAATGGTCTACCCTTCAGGCTCCCCTTGAGGGATAAGGGCTAGACAACTAAACAGTAATACCATACCCACGGCTCCCCTAGGCCATTCATGACTGGCACAAAGTCAGCCTTTCATCCTTTCAACAAGGCTCTCAGACCTTAGGAAGTGGATAGTAGAAGGGGTTAAAGAGAATGAAAAAAAAATGGGGGGAAAGGGGAAAAGATCATAAATTAGTAAAGTTGAGGGCTGAGGTCCAAGATAGAGCTATGCCTGGCAGTGGCTCCATCTCCTAAGCCCCATAAAAAATTAATACACTAAAATCACAGTGAACATTGCATTTATTTCACAGCAATGGGTTAAAAGTTGTATCACTGACCCAGGAAAATGGCACTGTCTTGTTTTATATGGTTGGTTTGCAATGCATAATTAATACCAAAATCAGTAGAGATAAA